TTTAATATTTCAAAAATTTAAATGCAATCTTAATTGTTATCTTTTATTCTCCTGTCTCCCTAATAATTTTTCTCATATTCTTTTATACTCAGTAACCCTTTTTGTCCTAGTGGCTTTATGGCTTGGGGTGAAATAATTAAAAAAAAAATAAATACTGATCCAATGACTTGCACAACATCTTTTTTTGAAAAGAATGATTTTAAGAGTTAAATGATACTTTTTTCCTTCTAATAAAATGGTTTCCTTTCTTCAGTCCTGCTAGGCTTATGACCATATCATGTTGAAACACTAATTCCTGTATGATCGCCAAAGTTAAGCAATGTCGAATGTGGTCAGTACCTAGACGGGTAAACATTTAGAAGTACCATGTGCTGTAATGTGCAGGTAGTGTTATGGATAATGGCTCAGAATTGTTCATCAATGAGCCAATTTCCTATTCCAGTTGGGTTTATTATATTCACTTATGTGAAAATAGCCTTGGGAGATGTATGAATCCACCTTTTCTCTCCCAATCTATGGGTTAATTAGTAAGACTTGTGCAAAAAAAATAATAATAGGATTTCCGATGAATGTGCAATACAGAAGGGTAGGGGCCTCTGTGTATGTACAAAAAAGAATGTTCTATCTTTTACCTTCTCTCATGACAGACTAATGGACCAAATTTTCCCTTCAGCTAGTGAGAACTGTTTCCATCTGACTCTCCATCTCTTACTATAACTGTAACTCTGACATTACCCTATAACTCTTCACATTCGAGAATGCAGCCTGACTACATAAAGCTCATAGCTGGAATTCCCTACTTTCCAGTCAAGTGACACTTGATCCTGAAAGTTTTTATTTATTTATTTCCTTTTTCCTACCTCTTGCTTTGAAACTCTCACATCTTGATTTTACTGTAGATTGCTATAAAACAGGGGTCACTCCAAGCCCAGATAAGATCATTTACAGCTAAGTTGATTAAGTGGGTATTCTAAAAATTCAAATGGGGATCCATTGCGCTACAAAGGCAACAGGATTTGAACAGTAAATATATCTAGCAGCAACTAAGCTCCATTGGGACTGAGACAGAAATTGCTCAAAACAAAAACTACACCGTCCTTTAAATAAGAAATTCAGAAGCTTCAAGTATTATATTTTCACAGTGTTCCCTAAAATCACAAGACTTAAATATTCATGTTTTTTTTTGTGACTAATTCTTAGCTGTGACCTACATTTAAATGAATAACATATTCTCATTTACTTTGGAAACAATGCCAAATTTGTTGAATAATATTCAGAATTTAACCTCATTTTCATTGTTTTCAGGAATTAATTAATGTCTGTTAGTCTGAAAACAAATGTTTACATAATTTTAATGACTTTTCCATTAGTTTTTTTTTTTTTTTAACTTAAAATCCAACAGTAATTGAATAAAATCAATTTTTTCTAACACTTTATCATTTCTGTAGACATATGGAATAAAAACAGTTTTCTGAAAAAAAAAAAACAAACATCTATTTCTTTTATGCATGCTTTCATTTGATTTGTTTACCACTTAACAGCCATTCAAGAACTTTAGGGTTATTTAAGGCCAGATAAAGGTTTTAAAGTATGATTGTTTTGGGTATAGCTTAGTTGGTGAAGGATTTTATTTTATTTTTAATCAGTTATTAAAGATTCTAATTTATAATAAAAGTTATTTTGTATTCAATTTCTGATACAAGTTTGTTACTAGAGTTTGCATTGTTATTTTTAGTGAGGATCTATATGAAGTCTGAAGTGTTCAGTTTTCCTTTACTTTCAGTTTTCAAAATATATTAAAGGTTTTATGTAGTAAATGTACTTTTACGTCTTTACAAAACTTACATCATCTGTTGTTGCTACTATGATATGTCAGGCTGTAGCTTTTGTGTTATAAAGTAACTTAGTGCTATTTACAAACTAACAGATATATTTTAACATACAGTACAACCTACTTTGTTACATATTTTTATCATATTGTCCATTGAGGATATCGTTTAAGTGTAGAGTATTCAATTGAAACTAAGATGGCAGTGCCCATAAGAAATTGCTGTTGGTTTTTTTCCAGTGATGTATTTCCAGTAATTGGCAATTTCCTATTTTTTCTGAAAATGGGCCAGCACTGCCAGGCAACAAGGCAGCAGTAAAAATCCTAAATGAGAAAATTAATTAATCATTGATGTTGATCAGTGGAAGATGATTGCTTTTTGTTTGTTTCTGTTTAACAGCCCAACCACTATAGGGTTATTTAAGATCAGAAAAATATTTTGAATCATGTTTGAGATATAGCTTAATGTTATATGCAGTTCAATGTTAGTTTTGTTTACAAGTTTGTTGATGAAGGTGTTTTTTCTTTTTAATCAGTTATTAGAGATGTTAGTTACTGGCCCTAACCAGGCGTCTCATCTTCAGTCACTTTCCCACCACCATAATGTAGCTTCCCTATGCCTTTTCTACAAATACTTTCACTATGATACCTAGACTTTATGAAACTAGATGTAACTGTAAGTTCTATGCTGACAGTTTCTAATCTTGCTCTTCTCATTTGTGGAACTTTTTTCCGGCTTCTTGCTTCACAGTCAACTTTGTGTGTGTGTATAGATATATTTTGATGATGATGATGAATATATATATATATATATATATATATATATATATATATAAGCTCTTTAGTGTTATAGAACACGATTGGTCTAGGAGATGGAAAACTCTTACACGAAAAGCCTGAGGTATATTGTCTGCTTCGTCTGTGGCATTTATTTGCACTGACTGAGTATATCAATAGTTCCGAAAAGTGTGGATGATTCTTCACAATCCTTCACCACTTTAATCAAATCACTTGTGTGGGTTTTCTGGCAGTTTACCTTGATTCGTTCTTATCAAGAGCAAGATCTAAAAGGTCAACCAATCTAACAGTGATCTCATCTCACAATCCTCACACTTGCTCCATATGTGGCCTCCTTTGTAAATCACTAGCGGGTCTTAAATGCCACTTAAGATTAGCACAAACTTTCATAACTGAATCAATAAGCTGGCAGATCCTCATACGTCGAAAGTGACAGGAGAGTCCATTATTATATATATATATATATATATATATATATATATATATATATATATATATATGCACACGGGGTGGCAATAAAGTCACTATACAGTTACTTACAATAACAATTAAAGCAAAGCAATTAATTAACAATCCAAAAATTAATTATTAAAATGGTTTTGGTTAATTTTGGTTAATAATAAAATGCTATGGTAAACAATAGTAAATTAATTACCAATACTGTTTGAACTGAAGGCAACCTGCTTCAATGCTTTTTTTTTTTATAATAAGTAACTGTATATTGATTCTATTGTAATCTTCTCTCTCTCTCTCTCTCTATATATATATATATATACACACACACACATGTACGTGTGTGTGTGTGTGTGTGTGTGTGTGTGTGTGTGTCTCACACACCAAATAGATGAGAAAACAAATGATAAACATCTCAGGCAACGAAGACATTAAAAATACTCTACATTACTAACAATAAGTCTACCATTCTTCAAATATTGCTACCTCAGATGCTCTGATGATCCTGCTATATATTTAGAGATTCTTGATAAAATACAATCTGCAATGTTATTGGTCCTCATCTGGCATCTTGGCTTCAGTCACTTTTTACTGCTGTAATGTAGCTTTCCTATGCCTTTTCCATAAATACTTCATGGTAATTTTTCAAATTAACTCTTCGCTATGGTACCTAGATTTTATGAATTTAAGTGCAATACTAGATTGCCAAGAAGGTCTCATCAGTTTATAGTTAAAATGGCAAGATGTAACCATAAGTTCAATGCTAACAGTTTCATTTCTTGCATTGCTGGCTTTTTTTTTTTATTATTAAAGTTCACTCAATACAATGCTTGAAAACCTCTCAAGGTGAACAAAATGTTCCATATATACACAAAAGAAGGTCGTGAGAAGTCAGGATATAGAGAATAGATAATGATTGAACCTTGACTTGACTAACTCAAGTATGTAGTGTTCAAGGAGGCATTCATGCAGGAGTGTATTTCACAAAGTAGCAGTTTTTGTAGCAAGGGGAGATGTCTGAGTGGAACGTCCTCCTTATAAATAGAATACAGAGGAAATGAGGTTGATTCAACTCCATGGACATTACATGGTGTGTTTTAGCCCTAAAGGTCTGAACTGGAGGAAACTAAAGAATAAAGTTTATTTGAACATTTGTCATGGAAATAGTGATACAGTAGCAGACAAGATTGCAACATTGTGGGGAAAAAGGCGGCAGAAATTAGAAAATATGATTCCCTCTGCCCCCACAAGTCTGTGTAAATGATTTTTAAATCTATCAAGGCTGGAAAATGTGGATTGAATAGAACCAGTCTAGATTTGGTAACAATATTCCATTTTTGATCTAATTCTACTCTTGTAAAGATAAAACATGGCAAAAAGAGCCACGTATTTTCTGGAATGGTAGAATGAGTGGAATGTTTTTCCAGCCTCTTTGGTACTTTGCTTCAATTTATGAAAATTGCTCTGTTTGGCTAATGATTACAACAAGTTCCAGATATTAAAATATTCCTGCAATCCATCTAATCAATTAAAGATTATTTTTTTTATAATGATATAAATCATTTTAGTGAAAAATAACTTAAGGTAATAGAAAACCAAAGAGAATAATATGATGACTGAATAACGATGCTATGAATTTATATATATATATATATATATATATATATATATATATATATATATATATATATATATATAAAAGATTCAGTTTTAAAATAGTTGGAAACATTTTTCATCTGTCTAACCGATACAATTGAGCTAAAAGATCAGTTGAGAAATCCAGGGAAAATACTTTGGTGACTGAATAATGATACCATGAATTTATACAATTAATAAAAAAAAAAAAAAAAAAAAAAAAAAACCTCATCAACCTAATAACTTAAATGAAAGTATCAAAATTTGAGAAAGAACAATTACTTACTTGCACAGTATCAAATTGGCCAAGCCTAGCAGCTAGAAAGATCGGTGGATGGTCTTGGCTTCCAATGTTTACATTGCACCCATTTCTAATAAGTTTCTGTATGACTGTACTGTCATGACATTTGATGGCAGCATAGAGTGGTGTCATCCCAATATTGTCAGAAACCTGAACACAAGCACCATATTCGAGAAGCAAGAGACAGATCTCGGTTTGTTTTTGCTCAGCAGCTACAAGCAAAGCTGTCTGTTCTTTAAGTTTGTTTGTTTGTTCCAAGCAAATGTCAGCCTCAAGGAGAAGCTTGCAAACCTCCAAGTGTCCTTCTTTGGCTGCTGCGATCAAGTGGGTGTTTCCTTGGTCATCATAAGTACTTTGGTAACACAGGTGCTGACATTGTATACATACCTGAGAAGGAGGCCAACATCGCAGTTCCTAAAAGAAACAAAAATAAGATAAAAAATACACATACACACACTGAATTCCTCAACATTTTGTTTTCAGTTAATCACATCAATAAATTCAGTAATACTAAGGTATGTCTGTAGTCCAATGTAATCTATGTCATGAATAATCAAGTGTGGTCACCCCCTGTTTTGTTACTCTCCTCTTTGAGAGAACTATTTCTGTTTACTGGGACTATAAAAGAACACTATTCACGAACCTTGTATTCTCAGTTGAATAAAGCCTTCTTAAAGCCTACATCTGCACACTTTGTCATTACAATATAATCATTGTTCAGTCAAAAACAAAAAGAAATAAAAGATAACTATCATACATCATTTTTGAACAGGAGTAGAGGTTTATCCCTCAATTCCTGTTTAGGATTGGGTCTCTGGTTCATTATAAAGTCTACTTCATCTCTATGCTTCTAATGTCTATGCCTAAACTCTGAAAGTATTTTTTTTTTTTACTATTTGTTTTTATTTTTTATTTTATTTTTTCCTCTCAATAAGAGTAGATAGGTGAACCTTTCATCCAGTTCACACTACTCCCAGATCTTTTGAACAGATGTAGAGGTTTGTCCTGTATTTCCAATTTGGGATTGGGTCTCCAGTTCCTTCTAAAGTTTTCTCATTCTCTTTCACTCCCATTGCATCTTCGTGTCATTTTTTTTTACTGTAAATTACAGGTGATAGTAGGGGTTTGTATTATAAATAGGTTTAAACAAAGATATTTTTTCGTTATTGATTTATAATAATAAATACATACTTGTAAGAAAGATATCCCAATTTTCATTTTAAATCCAACAATAATAATTCTAACATTTTTGTTAATAGCGAAAAAATAAAAAATCTATAAAAATCCAATTTTGAAGAAAAGAGGATATCAAGTTAACAATTTATTGAAATTTTAATTTTCATCATCATCATCACCACTTTCTATTATAGAATCGATATCTAAATTGTCATTAAACAAATTATCATTCACAATATTATCTTCATCCTGTTCAAAATAATCTTCGACCTCTTCATTCTCTTACCAAATGATGTCATCTTCAGAGCCATCTATGGCTATCGTGAGACAACATTTCTTGAAACCTCTCTTTATAGCATCCTCACTGATGGAATCCCATTTTGGCAGTAAAATAAAACGTTATATTTATCAGGAAAACTGCATGGTAATTTTCAACATTATTTTAGCCGCTTAGTTTCAATTTTATTCTTAATGTCAAGGTCGACAAAATATCTTTGTAATTATTTTTTTTGACAAAATTTATAGATATGTATTATACATAGGGATAGATATATTTCTTAATCTTTGGATCATTTGGTTGGATGCGTATTATTTATGGGTGCATATTATTTTCGAGAAATTACAGTACATTCAGACTATTGTGTTCATTTTCGTTGTTATCAGAATGTTTTGGCCAATGTGCCCTTCAGCCTTCATCAGGTGTATCTTGATCTGGGTAATCTACACAGAATTCTGAACTTAACTCTTTATTTACTCCAGAACAATAAGTCCTACAAGACTTAGTGGATTAAAGCATCAGTTCCTGAATTTCGTGACATAATAATTGTGAGTTCAGCTCCTGGGTCTGGCAGTGGATTCAATGGAAACGAGGTGAGCAATAATTGAGCAGTACTAAAAATAAGAACTAGAGGAAATATCCTGGACATGGGTTGATTCAACTCCATGGACATTACATGGTGTGTTTTAGCCCTAAAGGTCTCGAACAGGAGGAAACTAAAGAATAGAGTTTATTTGAACATTTGTCATGGAAATAGTGATACAGTAGCAGACAGGCTTGCAACATTGTGGGGAAAAAGGCGTCAGAAATTAGAAAATATGATTCCCTCTGCCCCCACAAGTCTGTGTAAATGATTTTTAAATCTATCAAGGCTGGGAAATGTGGATTGAATAGAACCAGTCTAGATTTGGTAACAATATTCCATTTTTGATCTAATTCTACTCTTGTAAAGATAAAACATGGCAGAAATCTTCTGGAGTGGTAGAATGAGTGGAACGTTTTTCCAGCCTCTTTGGTACTTTGCTTCAATTCATGAAAATTGCTCTGTTTGGCTAATGATTACAACAAGTTCCAGATATTAAAATATTCCTGCAATCCATCTAATCAATTAAAGATTATTTTTTTATAATGATATAAATCATTTTAGTGAAAAATAACTTAAGGTAATAGAAAACCAAAGAGAATAATATGATGACTGAATAACGATGCTATGAATTTATATATATATATATATATATATATAAAAGATTCAGTTTTAAAATAGTTGGAAACATTTTTCATCTGTCTAACCGATACAACTGAGCTGAAAGATCAGTTGAGAAATCCAGGGAAAATACTTTGGTGACTGAATAATGGAACAAGAACAGCCTACCCACATAGATTAAATAAAGGGTTCAGTTCAAAATTCCCTGTAGGTTACCCAGATCAATACACATCTGATGAAGGCTGGTGGGCACAACAGCCAAAATGTTGTGATAACAACAAGATGATGACAATGGTCTGAATGTAAATAATAATAATTCCTCATCCTGGAAATTCAGACAGGAACAACAGTGTTGTTTAAAACCATAAAAACCAGAGAATTTTCTAACAAAGGCTGAAACATTGTGATAATAACAACAATGAAGATAATAGTCCAAGTGTAGATAATGATAACTCCTTATTCCAGAAATTCAAACAGGAGTCATATGATGATGATAATGATAATAATAAATGATCAAAATATAAAATATGAGATAATTTTAAAAAAAATGATTTCTCATGTGTAAAATCATATAAATGTGTCAGAAAAAAAATTACTATAATTTTCTGTATTTATCTTAATACATTCCTGAAATTTGATGGAATCTATAATTTTACTGTCTACAATACTATCCTGAAGTGTTACTCCACCTCTTGTTATAAATCATGTTTACTATTTACAGGATTAACACAACCTCTAAACAAGCTATCAGTTCCATCCAATGTAGCTCTACATTCATCAATAATACACATGTCTCTATGTTGTTTACTTAAAGGTTCTAGTTTGGTTGCTTTGGTGTCATCCCAATATTAACCGGGTATTGAACTTACACTCTTTGGGTCCTGTCACTGGATCTAACCAACGCCTTTATCCACTGTGCCATGTGTCCTGTGAGTTCAATACCCGGTTAAGGCAATGGAGAACTTTCAGAGGGAAATTAACAGGAAATAACTGATAACTGACATCCATCAAACATGGCACGTGGAACTAGAACAGTCTACCCCAGTGAGCGAAATAAAGAGTTCAATTTGACATTCCAACCACCTGAAGAAGGCCGGAGCGTACAACGGCCAAAACATGATAAATATGGCGACAAAGATGAGGACAATAGTCCGAATAATGTAAATAATGTACATAATACCTCATCTCAGAAATATAGACAAAGTAATTAGAAATTTAAAGATCTTATTAGTTGTACAAAATTTAATTAGTGTAATAAAAACAGATATAATAAAAGGGGACAAGAGGAAACTATAATTACAGTAGTTAGCAATATGAGAAAAGAAAAAAATTATTTCTAATTTCCTCAATTCTGACAAGTGAATCATATTTTTTATGTGTTTTTTCTTTTTTCGTTTTTCCACATTGTCAACTAATGTAGTTGTAGTTTCCTCATCTTCATTATTATTGTATAATACTATAAGATTTGTTAAAAATTTTCAATGAAAATATTTCATCTCTGGAATGAGCAGGAATCACAGAAGTGGAAATTTTACTTCAATCTTGCTGCTCTAACTTTTCATGGAGCCAGATGAAAACATTCCATGTCTGGGGTGAGCAGGCATCACAAAAGAAAAGATCTTACTTGAAACCTGCTGCTCTGGTTTTTTGCAGGGTTAGAAGTGGTCAGATGTTTAGAAATTAAGGATTCTTGTCTTTGGTTTGAATTCTTGTTCTTCAAGCTAAAATACTAAATAAAGTAGAACTTACAACTACAATGACAAAGGTCAAAATTGTACCATGATGACAAAGTTTACCAGCCCGTCCATTAAACACTTACATTATACCAGGGATCACCAAACTACAGCCTGCAAGCCGGATCCAGCCCCCTGATGTTAGTTCATCTGGCCTGCCTCTTCACTGTGTTAAACTATAATTATTTATATGGAATTATCAATATATTGTAGTTACTATATAGAATAAATTAAAATAAATGTAAGTAAAATACCAAAATTTGGCCAATCTGATTTTTGCATCTGATAGTAATATAAATTTTAGGAAAACCAGTGAAATAAAAAATTCGGCAATTTTTTGCAACTTTTGATATTCAAGTGCTTTTTGTGTAAGTACCTGCAATGAAGTTTCTAAGAAAAGTGATTACAAGCCTGCTGCAGGAATTATGTTTTAACTTGCATTGCCATGATTAAATCAGTTTGAAGAGTGCCATATATAAAAAGGACTGACTTCAGTGAATTATGTCATATATTTTGCCTGAACTTATTATAAAATCTAAAGTATGTAAAGTCAGCACATGTAACGAGGTTGACTAATGAACATTTGAAAACATTTCTCTTGGTTGAATGCAGCAATACCAAAACAAATACTAATTATATCTTAAAAGATAAACACCAGTTTCACAAATCTTTGTGCTGCTTAGTTTGTGAGATTTGGATACGTGTACACTTGGTGTGATATAAATATTTTATTGTTATTGTTGCCTTCTTGGATAACTTTTTAGTAAATAAATATGTTTGTTGTCTTTATTTTTTGTGCATTCAGAATATTGAATGGAACAAAATGGTTATCCATCCTGCGCTCGTCATTGTCTCAGTTATCTGACCCTCTGTGAAAAAAGTTTGGTGACCCTTGAATTATACAATGCTCTCAAATGTAAACATTACACCCTGGTGCAAATTAATTGAAACAAAATGAATAATTCCATTATTATTTACTTTTATTTGTATTTTTCCAATGAAACATGAACCAGTGCACATGTTAGTACTTTGTATGTCCATTCCACAATGTCTTTCTTTGCAGATTGACCACAGATTCTCGATTGGATTTAAATCAGTTTCCAAACTAGTTGATAGTACTTTGATTTGCTCACTGGTAATGCTTACCATTGTGTTCATGCAGCATTACAATTTTTACATGCTTCCTTGGAGTAAAGTCTATCGCAGACAATGGCCATAGGACAACTAATCGACAGTCGAAGAGAATAGTGTCTGGGCTTGATGAAAATCTGATGCAATCACAGATGCAATATTTTTCAAGGCCAAACAAATTTCATTACACACCCCAAAAATAGATTCATATTACTGCACACCACTGTAAATGATCTAATCTGAGGAAAAAATAGAAATTGATTACACCCTGTCATTCCAGTGGGTCTAAAACTGACCATATGGTGAAAGAAAGGAAACTAAAGTGGTTGTTTCAATTAATTTGCACAAGGGTGTATGTTATATGCTCCATCAAGTAATGAGATTCAAACTCTTCCTTTTATATAATGTATAATAATAGTTTCTAAAATTTTGAATCTTTTTTTGCAGTAAGTCCTGTATAATATTTTGGTATTATCTACTAATATTTCTCTGATGTTAACAGTAGTATTTTTATTGTGCTGTGATGATTGATAAGTGCACAAATTACACTAAGTTCCGGTAAGTGACAAGTCAACCGACAAGAGAGTGTAGTGCATGTGTAGAAAATATAAGAATTGTTTTTTTTTTTTTATTGATATTGGAGATGCAGTCACCTAAAGGACATGTGAATTAATAAACAATATTTACAAATTTGTTTCTTTTCTTTTTTTAGCATAGGCAGAATTTATTAGGTACCAAGTTATTGGTAATAAGATTATCAGAAAGATTGCTGTTGTTGTATCCTTAAAGAGGTTACAAACAGACAAAGGTGGTACTCAAGTGAAGGAACAGCAATATGTGCATAGATGAAAGAAAGAGAGGTTTATTGTAAAAGAGAATACACTACTGAAAGACAGGGAATTGGGTAGCAGGCCAGTTATTCCCGAAGCCAGTCCTAAGTATATCCCTTGCTCACTATATATATCTACTGATATAGTCAGTCCACATAGGCGATAAGGAGAGTGGGACATTCCATTACAACAGCAGTTTAGAAAAAAATTAAATTTAATAAAATAGTCTAATCAAGTCCTTGAAAATTATCTAAGTAAATTGTTATGGGGTCCTCCCCTTTTTCATATAAGTGGACCCAACCAGAGTGTTACTTGGACTGCTGCCGTTAAATAACCAGAGTCAGTCAGAATATAGAGAGAGTGAGAGCAGTGATTGTGATTGAGTTGGAGGTAGAGTAATAGTGTGAGGTAACCGCTTGTAGAAGTCACAGTTACAAGCATGTAGACTCTAAGGAAGTCCTACTTGAGACTGTGTATATATATATATATATATATATATATATATATATATATATATATATATTATTATTATTATTATTGCCACTAACTGCATTTCTGGATTTACTAACAGTATTACCCATTGTATTATTATGTAAATACATTTATTTGTTATGTTTCATTCATTGGAGACCGAATTTCATCTCGGAATCCACAACATAAATCCTAATTCAGAAATGAATACTAAAAGCAAATAACTCGCATACTCTAAGGAAAAAGTCATGCTTCTTACCTTCAATGATAGTTGTAAAAAGTATTGTACAAGTTTAGTATATCCATAGTAACAACTAAGGTAGAGAGGTGTCCATCCTGCTGGAGAACAATTTACATTGGCCCCGGCTTCAATAAGGCTTTTTACAGCTGCATAATCATTAGCCTTTGTTGCACAGACAAGATTCCGATCAAGTGAGGTTAAGCTGTGAACTGCACTTTCCAGCTTACTGAATGTCACTAATGAGTAATCCATCCCAAGACATCCTAAAGAAAAGAAAATCAGCAAGAAAAACATGAAATATAAAAAACAAAGAGAGTCTCAGTTATAAAAGATATTAAACAGTGAGATCTATTTGTCATGTCTCTTCAGGATGTAATGGATCATGGCTCTCCACAATTTCCTCTCCTTTGTAGCTGTTAGTAAAGTTAACCATTTTCTTATCTCTCCTAATCCCTGTTCTGCCAATCACAAACACAAGCTCATTAGGTAGGTTATGTGCTGCTTTCCTCTGTCCCTTGAATTCAATGTCCTGTCTATATTTCTGAGATGAGGTATTATGTACACTATTTACATTATTCAGACTATTGTCCTCATCTTTGTCACCATATTTATTACAACGTTTCGGCCCTTCAGTATCTGTCTATATTTCTGAGATGAGGTGTTATGTACACTATTTACATTATTCAGACTATTGTCCTCATCTTTGTCGCCATATTTATTACAACATTTCGACTGTTGTACGCTCCGCCCTTCTTCAGGTGGTTGGAATGTCGAATGTAATAATAACAACAAAAATTGCAATATGAGCTCTAGTAAAAACATGAAATGATAACAGCAAAAAATTGCAATATGAGCACTGGTAAAATGGTTGCTGAAGACATTAGGTTTATAATACCCAGAAATTCATACACAGATGTCCTCAAGGACACAGTGGATAAAGGCGTTAGTTAGATCCAGTGACAGGACCCAAAGAGTGTGAGTTCAATACATGGTTAAGGCAGTGGAGAACTTGGAGAGGGGAATTAACATTTAATGTTAATTAACATGTGGAACTAGAACAGTCTACCCCAGTGAGTGAAAAAGGGTTCAGTTCGACATTCCAATCACCTGAAGAAGGCCAGAGTGTACAACGGCTGAAATGTTGTAATAAATATGATGACAAAGATGAGGACAATAGTCCGAATAATGTAAATAGTGTTAATATATCCTGTTTTCTAAGCTGCTTTTCTTTATTATTTTCCCCGAGAAAATTCAACTCTTTCTGATTCTAAGTGTTCTTTTTGTTTACATTTTCCCTAAAAACCGTATTACTGTTCATATGTTCAGTCCATGGTATAAGAGATAAGCTTGTTAATTCTATAACAAGAAATTGTGGTGATCACCAAGATTCTTAAGGGATATGGCATATAAAATTCAAAGATCAAACAGCATTTTTTAATTAAGTGTACTTCATAATAACCCCAATATTTTAGCAGCAGGAGGTTTCCTTCCCAAAAAGAGCATGCATATGTTCGTTGTTGGAACCTAATAGTATCAGCAATTGTGCAAGTGAGTTTCTCAGAATTTCCTGTGTAGAGAGAGCAGTCACAGTTAGACAGAATTAACAAAATTCTCAATAACAATTGGAAGAAGACCAGGGCAAATTAAAACAAGACAATGTAAAGCAAGGCAAATCAAAGTAAAGCAACTATAAAACAGTAACAAAGTAAAAAGTTCACAAAACAGAAATAGTATTTACACAAAAAGGGATACAGTCAAGCCTATATATGTCTTTTCTACAAATACTTTCATGGTAACTGCTCTAATGAGCTACTTCCACTGATTCCCAAACTGCATGAATTTAAACATGCTACTAGGTTGGCATCTCAGTTGTGACAAAAGATATGACTTACCTCAGAATTCGAAACAAGCGTGAACGTGTCTTGCCTGCAAAGTAATGACAAAAAGAAATATGGCTGCTATTAAAGACAATTTATGCACGCGTATCTCGTCCAAAACAAGACGATATTTGCACACATGCAAATTTTGGCCATCTTGGAATAGCCTAAAAAGCGGGGTGCCAGCAGCACCAAGGGTCAGGGAGTCATTCGGCAGACTGTGTGTAATAGAGTTGGACATACAGATTGACAGACGGACAAAGAGAAAGTAGGCACGGCTGAGTTGGTGTCTGTTTCATAACTGTCCAGTGTAACGGCTGAGAAAGGGAGTCATGCAATCCATTTCCTTGAGGTGACCAAAGAAAGAAAAAAAAAACCCTCATCATTTATTTTTTTTCTCCTACAAGCTATTTCAGCAGTTATGGCGAAGGTTCGCATAAGCAGCGACGTTATAAAACATTTTCCGGCCAGGACGATGTGGTGGCATGGCTAAAAAAAATCAGGCTGGTGGCAAGACTTCAGCAGGTGGACAATGTGACTAGCCTGCTGCCTTTGTACCTGGAGGGGGACACACTAGCCCTCTACATGGAAATGGAGCAGAAAGTTTGCTGCTTGATGAGGAAAGTGCAGAGTGCGTCAATCCACCCGAAGAGGGAGTAGAAGCAGAGCCCCCCTCTGACAATCCACCTGAAGAGGGAACAAGAGCTGAGCTCCCCTCCCTGCTTTTGCAAAGTAGCACCCGTTGAAAATAACCGTTGCCAGGCTGCCACCTTTGTGATCATGAGATCAGGGAGGGGCGTGACAAAAGACATGACTTACCTCAGAAATTGAAACGAGTGCGAACATGTCTTGCCTGCAAAGTGATGACAAAAAGAAATATGGCCGCTATTGAAAACACAATTTATGCATGCCTATCTCATCCAAAACAAGACAATATTTGTACACATGCAAATTTTGGCCATCTAGGAATAGCATAAAAAGCAGGTTACCAGCAGCACCAAGGGTCAGGGAGTCATTTGGCGGACTGTGTGTAATAGAGTTGGACATATGGATTGACAGACGGACAAAGAGGAAGTCGGCACGGCTGAGTTTGTGTCTGTTTCACAACTATCCAGTGTAACGGCTGAGAGAGGGGGAGTCATGCAATCCATTTCCTTGAGTTGAATGAAGAAGAAGGAAAAAAAAAACCTCATCATCATCATTTTTTTTTCTCCTACATCAGTCCCACTCTTTCACTGTTGAAATGGTTAAATGTAGCCATCTCTTCTACTCCATTAGCTTCATGTCTCACACTACCAGTCTATGGAACTCCCTTCCTCTTACTTGCTTCCCTGATAGCTATAATCTCCAACTATTCTAATGCAATGTCAATCAACATCTCCAGATGCCTTGATCTGTTCTCAGTCCTTCTCTTCATCTTTTCCTCAATCAAACCTCTTTACTCTTGCTCCTACTCACTTTAACCCCTTGTGTGCTTGTGGCACTACCACCATGCTTGGAGTCAAATGCTAAAAAAAAAAAAAAAAAAGCCTTCAAATTTTAAGGCAAGAAAGAAAAAAATGCCTGAAAAAGACCAAGAGTTGTCCATTTTTATTGGTTAGGAAGAAATTCCAACATGCATCTGTAAGATTTTATCTATGAATTCAGAAAAGAAGGAATTTTTAACAGCCATTCTCCCAGCATCCTGACATTTTCAATACAAATTGTGCACAATACACAAGTTTTGTTTGTCTAACGGTGATTACAAAGGTACAGCAGCTCAAAAAACTAACTCTGATCATTCTGATGTGAAAAAACTTCTGAATTTATTGGTAAGCGCCTCAGGCACAACACAGGAGCCTACATCAAGTGCCTTTAAGAAGTAGTGCTGCTCTGAAATAAGACGGTTGCTGCTGAAAGACCCTATGTCTGGCAACAGGACTCTGCACCATGTCACACAAGGAGGAGAACCCAGTCATGGCTGTCAGACAATTTCCACAACCACATCACCCCTTACATCTTGCCACCTAACTCCCCAGATTGCAATCCCCTTGATTATTATGTGTAGAGTGCAGTTGAATGAGAGCTAAACAAAACTACTCCTCATAACACCAAAGATAAACTGAAGGCAAGGATTATGGCAGCATTCACTAACTTGAACAAGGAGACTGTCCAGAAGAGATGCAGGTGATTCCAAAGTGGTTGAGGCCAATGATGATTTTATTGAATAAATGTATTTCAAGATATTTTTGTGTAATTTTGGTAAATATATCTGTTAAAATGTCAGTGTTATTTTCATTTTCCATAATGTAGACAACAATTTATCTATCGTACCCTATATATTTATTCTACATTCAACACTTGATAAGACAGCAGAAGTGTTGATAGAAAATGACTATTCTTGTAGTGATTTTATTACATGTTTATGCTATAATTTTTGAATAAATTATAATGGAAATAGATCTAAGAACACACAGGGGTCATTAAAACATTAAAAGATAAGATACAGATTCATCATTTCTCTTGGGCCAACCTTAATTGTTTTATGACCCTTCGCGCAGAACTCTTCACTGTCAATTCAAGAAAGACATTCGGATTACTAACACAAAAACAGAGAATGTCTTATATCGAGAATATTTAACATTGAAAAACATAAGGAAAAAATTACTTATTTTTAATAATATGTGGAAATCTCCACCTTTTACCTGAAGACCAGAAACTCGTGTAGTAAAATTATGGAAAATAAAGCATAATATCTTTTTTAAAAAAAAAATCCACATTAGAACCAAAAACGTTTGCGGTACCTCTCTTCTTTTTAATATACACACACTTTTCTCTCATTGAAACCACTATAACCTCTTTCTTTTATATATATATATAATTAAAATAGACAATAGGAAAAACAATTATTGTCTATTTTAATCATTTTGTTTTTCTACAAATATAATCTGAGAACTTACACACACAAACACATATATATATTTATTAAAAACATATTTACGTAAGTATATTTAGGCAGTAAGAATTCATTTAATCAATTTTTGCTGAATTCAATCAACAAGGTCTGTTTAATTTTTTATTGACTGTCAAAAGTAGTTGAACAAAAATGTGAACTTTGGGCAGCCTATCCAAACTTCTGATTTCAATGTACAATAACAAATTCAAAATTTAGAAACAGAAAAATGAAACAGACAGTCAGCTGAATTTAACATATATATATATATATATATATATATATATATATATATATATATATAGTGTATTTGGGCAGCAATCCCTCTTTTATACAAGTTTTATTAAATATGACTAACAAGGTAATGTCAAAATGTAAAAAAGGCTAAAAATAATGAAAGTATTATTAATAAAAAAGACAAAAAACCAACACTCAATAATATC